GCCCACTTCTTCGGATGCATCCGAAGAAGTGGGCTGTAGCCCACGAAAGCTTATGCTCTAATAAATTTGTTAGTCTCTAAGGTGCCACAAGTACTCCTGTTCTTCCTACCTAGATACATTACTGCTTGGCATGTGCATATGAAACATTCAGTATTTTCAGAATTTAGTTACATACTAAAATATTACTCTCCAAAAACAGTAGAAGGAAACTGTTTTTGTTGCTGAGCCAATAAAGCCACTGTAGACATTTTGACTTCAACATGTAAGAATAAAATGTTCGTGTTTATTTCCAAAATCCTTTGAGTCTCCTGAGACTTCATTATCTTCCCTGTTTTGTTACATGCAGACACCTTTCCTTTTGTTCACAGAGTTGCTTTTGTTATGAATTATTGACAATAAAATATTATTTTATTTAATATTATTTTACAGGATTGGGGACTTGTTTTGCTAGGTGCTGAGTAAATATAAATGTAGGCACAGTAATATACATTGAAAAGAATTGTATGACTGCAAAAATCATTTGTGTTGTTTTAAGGGATTAAATTTGAGAACCCAGGTACAGAGCATAAGTTTGTTTGATTGTCAATATACCTATAGCATGTTGTCTGTTACAAAACTGTTGCTATTCGCACTGCTAAATAAGTATTTGATAGGTAATAGAGGATAAGATATAAAATTATTAGATGAAAGAAAACTGCGTTAAACATGAACTAACACATGAATTTGTCTCTCACAGGTTACTAATAGAGTTTTATGATGCAAAGGATTCTAAAAGAAGAAACAAGTTCCCAGGGAAATGTGTTCATTCCAAACTAAGTCTCAAGAAAACTTTACCATCCTTGCTGTTTCTAGGTGGCCTGACTGCTAGTATGCTTCTGACAGAATCTGGAAGGAAACTTTATGTAAAAACATGGATATATGGGACTTTAATTGGCTACCTTTGGGTTAGTGTTAAAGCATAAGTAGATGCTAGTCTCCAATGAGAGAAATGTGCTCTCTTGTCTTGCACATTGCACCAAACTTTTTCCTGAATTTATAAAGAAATGTAAATAAAGCCTTATTGATTGAACATTGGATAAATTGGAATTTCTGACTTACACCTCTGTGTGATTGGTCTGGGGAAAATATACTTAGTTTTACAAATTTGCTACTGATTTTGCTGTAAAAATGACAGATAAACTGAGTTTTATTACACATTGCTTTCCCCATGAATGAACATCCATCTGTATCTGCTGAAGATTAGTAGAAGTATGTCTTTATAGATACATAACTTAAGTGGACCAGTGAATGTATTTACTAACATTAATTTAGGGGATATATATATTCTTCTACTACTATTATTCATGTTTAGTTTTTGTTACTTTTCAATTCATTGCAGCAACTCAGTTATATCTATCCTAGCTGCATTACAGCTAACAGCAAAGCTAATGTTCTTCAGTATCTTGCTTTTCAGTTTTATCTAAATATGTTCCTCAGAAGCTGATCAAGTAAATTCATAAATCATGAAATGTTATGCAAGGCAGAGAAAAAGTTCCTAAGAACTGTTGTTCATCGGGAAGAAGTTTTGTTTATCTAGTGCATGGTCTTTTGATTGCATTGCATTATTACCTGATTTAATTATTTTACATATGCAAAACATTTAATTATAATTAATATTATTGAACCAACAGCTTATTTTGTGCACCCTATGTTTGTGCAGAAGAGAATATGTGCAGTATAATGAAATGTTAAGTTTAATTGTGGCCTAACCAGATTGTAGCCTACCTTATGTCTAAATCGGCAATAGTTTGTTGAAGATTCAGCTCAGCTAATAGAACTGTAGAGTGTATGTGCCATAAACAGTATGAACATTCAGAAGTTTCCTGTTACCTCATCAGTATCTCTAAGCAAATTGATGTAATCTGTATAATACATAGTAATACTATTACTTCAGCAGAAGTGTAGATTATGGTAACAAGGAACTTTCAGATGTTCCTACTAAACTTAAAGCATGTGCCTTTGTCTGCTAATCTATGATTTAGTCTGATATTCATTGTCAAGAAATCATTTAGTGTTATAATATTACATTAGACTTTCACTGCGTCCTAGTTGATGTACACGTCAGATGAATTGAAGATTTTGGTGTTGATACATATGGTTTGCACAGTAGAATAATTGTGAAAGAAATGCATATCTGACCATTATGTCACCTGCTTGCAAATTTATATTTTAAAAACCCTTGTTGTCAGCAGGCCTGTGGTTCCCGTGGCTATTGTGCCTGAGTGTTACGTGGGGAAATTCCATTTCCTCTTTTCCAGGGAATAGGCTATCTGCACTAGGGTCCAGCTAGAGAAGAGGATCCTGTATTATCTTCTTCCACTAGGAAATCAGATTCCCAGCATCAAAACACAAGACCTAGAGTACGCTTTTATCTCACTTCTCCAAGCTTTAAATGTGCATCTCTTATTAGCTTTAATGGCATTTACATGGCATAAACTCCTTATGCATTAAAATAATAACATACATCTTGAAATTATCATTGTTCTCAAATTCCATCATAGTCAGAATAATTGAACCAAGTGCTTGCTTTTAATACATATTTTTTTAAAAAATTTATAGAAGAATATTTACAAGTCCACCTTAAAAATGATGCAGTACAATTTTCAGTTTGCAATTCTCTATCCTTCCATAATGGATTTTGTCACTGGACATATTTATATCATTCATTTATGCAGGAGGTGTTGATGAACCATCTTAAAACAATGACAGGGAACAATGTTTAGAATAGTATTGTTGTGAGGTTCTGAAACCATGGAAAAATAAGCCATTTTATGTAACAGGCAAACGTGCTTCCCATGTGCATCATACAGCTTGTGCTGTTCTCAACATAATGGCCAATGGATACAATCAGAACGCAGTGTTCTCCTGTTAATCTGACTTTGACGTATGAAATGTAAATTTACAATGAATCCTCACTGTGTCATGATTTTGTGTAACAGTCCAAAAGTTAAGAATAACACTTAACTGTACAACAAAAATAAATGCAAACTGCTTAACTCACTTGTAGCAGAATTACTGTTGTTTTGGAGGTCCTAATGACTACAATTTTGGATCTCTCATGTTAAACTATCTAGAATATAATTGAGTCAGTGAAACAAAGCAACTGGCCTGTTTATTTTGAATGTCATTCTCCTGGCTATTCTTACACAATTTTTTTTCTCGCAATTAGTTTATACATTTTTGAAAATTGTTATGTATTTGCTCATGTATTGGGTGTTCAGAGCATTGTATGCTATTTCTTAATATGCACTGATGTCAACTTGAAATATTTCTTTATTAAAAAGAAAAGAGCCAGATGCTCATTCAACTTTTTTGCTGTTCCTATTCTTGTTTGAAGTATTTTTTAAGCTTTTATGTTTGTAACTGTTTACAGCTGAATTATTATTCTTTACAAAAACAGTCAACATGCATGATTCTAACACTCTTCAGTAAAAAGGTTTGTGTGAACAAAAGTCAAATAAAAATGCCCTTGTCTTTCTTTTCTGTGCTGCTAAAAAGTTTCAGAAACTTGGAATGTTTTATAAATGCCCATGTTCAGTACAGTACTAAGGAAATGGTTAGACCATGATAATAGCTTCGGAACTGAGAATGCCTGCAAGATTGCGTATATAGTATTATTAATCATGTTTATTACGGCAGTGCCTAAGTACCAATGCAGAGTGGAGCGCTGTACAGAGTAGTTGACAATCCCTGCCCCCCGAAGAGCTTGCAGTCTAAATAGGCCAGGCAGACAGAGAGTGGGGGGCAGGGAGGAATAACATGCAAAGCAGTGTGATGGCACAAGCCATCACTTCAGTGCCATGACTTTTTTGGGAGGGGAGGGGAGTGGAGTTAGGAGGGGATAAGCTAAAGGGAAAGGAAGATGAGTGAGCATGACAGGGCAGGAAAAGGGGGGGCAGTTGTGGAGTGAAGCTGAGATGAGGAGATGCAGGTTTGGAGCAAACAGCCAATTAGTACAGAGCAGAGGAAGTCCAGTCAAAACTGTAGCTGCTTCTGTTACTGCTCCTCCAGACGAGTCTCTGGCTGGCTCCACTGTGGAGTTCTTTTTCACGAAAGCCACGGTGGGGGTGGGGTAGTGGAGAAGGGAGGCACCATCTGTGTCCTTGTGCCCCCAGAGTTGGGGAGGAGCCTTCCTTGCAACATTGTTCAGCTTTGTGTAGCTCAAAAGATATGACTGCTCTCTATAAATGGATCAGAGGGATAAATAGCAGGGAGGGAGAGGAGTTATTTAAGCACCAATGTGGACACAGGAACAAATGGATATACACTGCCCATCAACAAGTTTAGGCTTGAAATTAGACAAATGTTTCTAACCATCAGAGAAGTGAACTTCTGGAACAGCCTTCTAAGGAGAGCAGTGTGGGGGGGAAACCTAATTGGCTTCCAGACTGAGCTGGATACATTTGTGAAGGGGGTGATTTGATGAGGCTGCCTACAATGACTTGTATCCAATCTGCAATTGCTAATAGCAAATATCCCCCAGGGGCTGGTAAGGGCACTAGATGGGGAGGGGTCTGAGTTACAATGAAGAATTCTTTCCCAGGTGTCTGGCTGATGAGTCTTGTGAAAATTGTCAGGGTCCAACTGACCACCTATTTGGAGTCAGGAAGGAATTTTCTCCCAGGTCAGATGGGCAGAGACCCTGGGGTTTTCCCCCCTTCCTCTGCAGCATTGGGCATGGATAACTTGCAGTTTTAAATTAGAGTAAATGGTGAATTCTCTGTAACTTGACATCTTTAAATCATGATTTGAAGACTTCAGTAACTCACCCAGAGGTTAGAGGTCTATTACAGGAGTGGGAGGTGAAGTTCTGTGTCCTGCAATGTGCAGATCAGACTAGATGATCCTTATTGTCCCTTCTGGTCTTAGTCCATGAGTCTATGAAAACTTGTCTCTCACAAACAGAAGTTGGTCCAATAAAAGATATTACCTCACCCACCTTGTGTCTTAGTTTGGCATGTTCAGTACTGCTAGATTTTGTGAATGGTCATATATTTTAGGTGTCTGTGTACCAACAGTAAGGAACGGAAGTGGAGGTTTTGTGAGGCATGTTTATTTGGTGAGAAATAAATAATGGAAGGTTTTTAAATTTTAATTTTTAATTTTATTTTAATTTTTTTTCTCACACAGAGAAGGAATTCCCTAGTCTGGGGACTATAGGATTAACTATGCCCACAAAGGCCATAGAAACAGATAATAGGCTACAGATCTTATCACCTCCCAGCCTTCTGCCTTATAAGCCTGGGAACTGCAGCACAGCCTTTGGGCTGCAGTGAACAGATCTACTCCAAGTATAGGAATTTAAGTGGAAGTGGTGGCGGTTTTTGTGAGCTCACCCTTGCCAGTATTTTTTCTTCTTTTGTTCTTCTGGCCTGTCTCACTGATGTGGAGTCCTGTGGCTCCAGTGAGAAGGAGCTTGGAATGTTTTACAACAACTTGCTGAACATGAAATAAACAGGAATATTATAGTTATGTTTGCACAAGTCTGGTCCATGATGCAATTCAAGCAACAAAATATATAGAGAATCGAGTGAGTGAAAACCAGTGAAAAATACCAATGCATTTCATTAATTTAAAATATCTAGTGTAACTTATGGTAATTGAGTTCCCTATTTTGTAGTTCATGCAACCTTGTCTTCTGAGAAATGGTTTGGCTTCTTATACTTTCTATTTTATGAGCTGTGTCCCTGTTCTGAAGGGGTCATGACCCATAGTAATGGATTGGATTTTGCTGTTCTATGTGTGGAAATTAAATATTTACACCAGGTCTATATTAAACATACATTCCACTAGAAATGAGGGTGTGGGGGGAATAATATCAAAGGAACATACTATTGATTTTGAATGTGCACAATGATAAATAAATATTGAAATTGGAACCATCCCTTCTAAATGGTCACTTGTATCTGGTTCATGTTTATACAGTGAAAACTTATCCTTATTAGTTATTCTTGTACAAACTGAATATTTCTAGGCTGCTCTTTAATTTTTTTATCTTGTATAAAATTAAGTCTCCAGTAGAAACAACTCTGCTTTTTGTTAGATTCTCAATGTGACCACAAATGCGATGTAGGATTTTCCATCAGACCAGAATTAACCTAACCTACAAACCTGGTTGTATTATCTGTGTGTGTTTTAGGGCAGCCATGGCCAGGGGAGTCCCCAACAGTGCAGCTCCATTGGCCAGAGCTACTGCAGAGGCTCTGTGCAGAATATCCTGGCCAGCTGTTGATGTCCCAGAAGTCATATGGGGGGATGGGAGCCTGCTCTGATTTCGTATTCTCTTGAATTCAGTGGACTTTATATCAGACTGACGGAGGAGAGTCAGTGGAGTATCCAGCTGACACCAGAAGGCTCTCAGATTTGGCAGATATCCTTGCATTATCTTACCAGCACATTTTCAACATGGCGCACAGGTAATTATACACACTAAGTCTTGGTGTTATGAGCACTTTCCTTTTTTTAAGCCTTTGGAACCTTGATTTCAGAGGTTTAGGTCATTTATTTAAAAAAAAAATACTGTGTGTGTGAATTTGTGCTAGTAAAATACAAGATTGACAGCTCTGCAGAACAAGGGATGTGCTGGTACAAGCTTCCCTGCTGATGTGCTTCAACCATGACCTTAGAGAGGGATTGCCTCTAGGGATGAAATATTAGTTCAGTCTCTATAGAGTAGCTATAAATCTGGCTGGGCATGACTACGCTTGCATATAGCTTGATTTGAGTGCAAGGTTAAACTGTAAACAGGGTGTGACAGGCTGGGTGCAGGAGATGGTGTTTTCAGGTGAGTTGAGGTAATTGGGAACTCCCTGAATTGATAAGCTTCAAATGCAGATAAGGTGAGGACACAAGTGATTGGTCCTTACATGATCTATACGATGTCCAAACCAATTAGATTCAAGAAGTATAGATGTTAGTAGCTAGTAAAAATGTGCATTGGGTGTGATATGGTTTGGAATTATGGTGTTACCCTGTACCTAAGCCACCTGTATCGGGGCCTGGCCAGCATGGGCTTAGGGCTGTTACATGCCTAATAAAAGTAACCTGAGTGACGAGTTGGAGTTGAACTGAGGTTTTTTGTCTCCCAGAAAACTGGATGAAATATTCTCCCAGAACTGGACAAGGTGCTTTGAATAAGCCAAGTGGAAAAGGTCTTTGAGAGAATCCCAACACATAGCCCATTCATTCCTTGGCCTCTCTTTTAGGACTACTAATAAAGAAGCCAGTTAGTGTGATTAATGTGTGTGCATCTTTTCACTAGGACATGAACTTAGCCTGTATGAAATGACTGACTGGTCTATCTACCAGCCATCCCATAGTAACCACTTTCAATCTCTACCTGCCCAGGCTTCATTAGAACCAGGAACTTGGAGCTGAATGCTCCTTACTGTCCTGTTACCCTCTCCAGGGCCTGTGCAGTCATCTGGGTTCAGCCATTTTATGAAACCGGATTTCATGTTGCAGTTCTTGACTGGGGGAAATTGCTGGGCTTTGGTGCACAACAAGGAAGGAGTGGAAGGAAATTTATTTTCGTGACTTAAGGGTTAATTCTTTGTACTTTAAGGAAGCATTTACCTATTCTCCGTAAATTGTAGTGAGGACAGGTATACTCCACCTACCCATTTTAATGTTCTCGTATATCATCATGGCACCTGTGCCCCCATGGCTCCCCATTACCAGTTTCTGTGAAAAGATGTGGGTGCGCGTGCACACACCTCTCTTTCCCCCTCTCCTGGTCCCCTACAATGCTAGTAGGAGAGTTCCAATTACCCAGCTGGAAGCCAGCTGTACTCTTCCTGCCCAGCTGTTTTCTGCAGCTGGCCAATGCTTGAGCATGCAACCACTGTGGGCCCCATGGCAGGAAGCATCTAACTCGGTCTTCTGCTGCAGGCACATGCCATCTCCCCAGTGCTGCTGCTCTACAGTCAAGTATTTCTCAGTCAGGATTTTTGAGTTCTGTTCCCAGCTCTGTCACAGACTTGCATGAGTCTTTCCAAAGAGGTTTTTATTTGATCAAATCAGAGCCAAATGTCGTGTCTACTTTCCAGTACTCGGGAAACTAAACTGTTCTGTGGCAGGCAGAGAAGAGAGATCAAGGTGCTGCCAACACCGGAGGTCTCTACCGCATGGCAGGGAATTGATTAGGTGGGATGTTATGCTGAGATGATCCTAGCAGGTGATCCCTGCTCCATAGAATCATAGAATATCAGGTTTGGAAGGGACCTCAGAAGGTCATCTAGTCCAACCCCCTGCTCAAAACAGGACCAATTCCCAACTAAATCATCCCAGCCAGGGCTTTGTCAAGACTGACCTTAAAAACCTCTAAGGAAGGAGATTCCACCACCTCCCTAGGTAACCCATTCCAGTGCTTCACCACCCTCCTATTGAAAAAGTTTTTCCTAATATCCAACCTAAACCTCCCCAACTGCAACTTGAGACCGTTACTCCTTGTTCTGTCATCAGGTACCACTGAGAACAATCTAGATCCATCCTCTTCGGAACCCCCTTTCAGGTAGTTGAAAGCAGTTATCAAATCCCCCCTCACTCTTCTCTTCTGCAAACTATGCTTTGGAGGAAGCTGAACCTCCCTTCCACAAGTCCTTGCCAAGCTGACATTGGGAAAATTCCTTATCCCTGATGCTGATGAGGAAGATGAAAAAAAACAACAACCCAGGATGCATCTGGCTAGTTGTGCATAGACGGGAGGGGGAAGGATTCTTCCTGACTCTTGCAAATGACCAGCTGAAGTCCTAAAGCATGAGATTTGATTACATTATTTGAATGCAGAGCTGCAGGGGTTATGAGTATGCTGAGAGCAAGTCTGAACTTCCTGTTCTCTCCATGACCTAGAAGGGGGGGGAAGGAGGCAGATGGATGTGGGGAGGGGAGTGATTTGTGGTCTTTGCTTGGAGCTACAATGGAATTCATGTCAGGGGTGGGATTAGAGTACCTCATAAGGATAGGGCCTTAAATGCACTCTGCCTTTACACAAGACAAATCCAACATGTCCCTGACCTCAGGAGCTCACAGACTAAATAAGGGAAGATACAGAAGCAGAAAAATTCCACCTGTTTGTATCTCTGTTGTGTGAGAGCAAAACAAGCTCAGTGCACTGTCCTTGTGGCGTGAACTGGACTTTGCTGAGGGACCCCAATCTCTCTCTCTCTCTATGAAGTGAGGA